CAACAATTCCCCCAAAACCTAATGCTACTTTTATCATTTTGGTTACTTTTTATGAATGCACTTTCTTACTGACTTTTATACTCTTCTCTGGCTCAAAAACCTCCAAAATACGTGCTGATGAATATTATCTCACAATTGTATAAATTACAATAAATCGCATAAATACATTTCAAATATTCTGCAATTTGTTATTTCGCGAAATCTCAGTTCCCTGTTTTCCGTTAAGGCCACCATTAGTTCAAAACAAAGGGAATAATAAAACTTTTATTCAATAAATTAATGAAATAACAATAGATGACAGAGAAGGTTCAATTTAAATGGATTCAAAGTGAGGTATCTACAATAGTGGGCGATGAGATCATTCACCAGTAAAAGCTTCTCGGAAAGATTCACAAACTAGTTCCCACGGATGCATACAAACCAAACGATTCCAGCAACTAACGCCAGAATAATAACAGAAACAATGGTAATAATCATAAATAAATTGACTTTGGAAAGAGATCCAGCGACTTGAACATCACTTGGTGAGAGATGGTTTGCTTCCGACGTGGCGGTTATATTTTTGCGTTTTCTTAAAATTGGCTGTTCCGCCACCTGGTTGGAGTCTTCAGCATCGCGTTGCATGGGATTGGGAGTCATGGGTGGATAATCTGGTCTTTTAGGATTTGATAAGTCTTCTGATGGAAAGTATTGTTCAAATTCATTTACTGGATCAACACTAGAATCGAATTTATTTGCAACCATTTCATAATCCCTGTCTTCATTATAATGCCTTGGGCTTTCTAGTTCCGTTACATACTCGTCCTCATGGCTTTTCCAATTTTCGGTTGATAGTGACGGATTTTTTATGGCAAAATTCAGATCAGGTTCCTGTCTCAAAGGGCCGGGTGTACTATTTGTTGTCATCAGGGGTACAAGGTGCATATTTTCAGTTTCACTTTCTGAAACAAATGTCTCATCTTCTTCCTCCAAGCTTTCAGAAAGATTCAGGTAATGGTCTGCTTCAGAGACGACATCGCTGTCAATCTTTTTGATAGAGTCGTCGTCTAACTTCGAACTCAGAACCATATCTTGGAGAATCTTTGGAGGTTTCGTTGGTAAAATTGTTGACGGTTCTGTTAGAATAGGTTCAGTCTGAAGTGACTTCTCGAATGAAGTAATTGACTGGTTATCTAAGATACCATTTTCCTTTGAAGCGTCTGTTACCACTTCTGGTTCCGAACGATGCTCGGTCTGTTTAACATTTACGAAAGATTCACTTAATGCTCTTGAAGTCTCAACTTCTTTTGTGATTGAAACTGATTCTCGTTCTGGATTGAGCAGAGGCAATACTAAAATTAAACAAAAATATCTCGACAATTTATCAATTATTCATTGTATACTATTTATGGCTCACTATTTCATCTAGAAATGTTCATAGGAAGTCGAAAAATGGTCGTGAATATTATCTTTCATAAAGTAAACTCAGCATGACTTGATTGAAGTTCACGGCCCATATGGATTTTAGGTTCTCCAGTTTAGCTTTGTCAAATATTAACCTGATTACTTTCAGTATAGAGAATGGTTAGATTATAAGTTTGCATTCTATGTACTGGCTTATTCTGACATACAATTTGATTAAGGTGAAATTGAATTAATGGCCACCTAGTAAGTATTAAACATTGTTCTTTCTCCCTGGTCCTCGATTGGCTAGTTTAAGCTCATATGCTTGAAGAAATGAGTTATGCGCGGGTTACACTATTGATGCCACTTCAAAGGTAGGAATGTTGTTTTTTATTACTAAATTCTGACAAATGAGCCTTCATCCACTAGTTTAAGTTCAGGGGAACATGTCAAATTCTCTTAGACATGGGTGCGCCAAATTTACGATCACATTGGTGCGAGATCTAAGCAAATTCAGAGGTTTGAAATTTTTAGCAAGTTCCGCACTTGAAAACGGACATCTGCTCCAATTGACCGCTGTATTTCTTAAGTAAACTTAATTTCAAAATACTTAAATTAAGTCTTGCAACATAGACAATCATAACATGGTTCATTATAAGGTTAATTAAATTAGACAAATTCAGTGGGACTGTATAAAAGCAAATAGTTATTTCATTTTAGCCAAATCACTAAGTGATGCGATTAGCCATCATATTGTGTCCGTCAGAACTAATTTACAGACAACTGACAAACCACCCGGGCTGTCCACATCAAAAATGTAAAATGGGGAACAGTTTTTGAATGAGTTGTCAGTAAAAGGTCAACAGAAGATTTTTATTGAACAAGGTTGCAATTCTTAACACATGCATGTAAAAATGTCAAACAAAAATTCAGTGGTTTAAACGATAAGCTAGTCTGATTATATATGATTTAAAAGGAGGTTACCGAATGCATGACCCTAGGATGATTCATCCCCCCTATCTTAATTGCTTCAACATTTTTGTCAAAGATCAAATCAAATTTGATTATAACTTATAGTTAATGTATTGTAATCTTACTATAATTATTAAGGCATAAGTCACAAGATCCTCTTGGCCAATTCCATAAACTTACCAAAGAATTCTTCTGGACGAATTGGTATTTCTGATACACTGTTGATTTGCCTTCTTTTGTCAATTAGAATAAATCTAGCACTTCCTTCAATGATCTCTAGTTTTGGAGCCGACTGGTCAAGCGTTGAGGGCGTCATTCTAATGGCAACAGTATCAGATCCTAAATTGGTGATAGAACTATCCTCTCGACATTGAATTGTGTATCGATCCAAGGTGGATATTAAATCAGTGTTTATGCTGGTGCAGAATGTTTCATCTCCTTCCTCATTGATCAGAAATATATGTATAGCGCCTAGAACATTAAGAGGATTGATACTATTTAAACGAAAACTTGGTGAAATAGACTAGACCATATCAAGTAGATTATCACTTACATATGTCGAATTTACTGTCATATACCTTTGTACTTTAATCATCTGGCTAAGAATATGCTCTTCATTAAGCCATTGCAGAATTTATTTCATTTCCACTAGTATGGAGTGATGTCAATTAATGGGAAAAATTTGTGTAGTGGACTTGGAGCTAATTTATGTTTCTCTTTCATTAAACAGAGTCTAATTTATCCCCACCCATAAGCTACTCACCGATTATCTCTTTTTTGTCCGGCAAACATTTTGCCAATATTCCGTGCTTTGGCCACTCTTTGCTCTAATTTGCAAGGTCACCACCTACGTCTTATTTTCACCCAATATAAAATTCTATCAACATTGCAAGTGATATCCTAGCTGGATAAACTCGGAATAACTAAACCCTATCATATATAGCGAATTCTAGTCACTAAACTCTCGCGGAATACAGTGTGTTCAAAAATTTTGAAATAGTTGCAACACAAAAAATAGATTTTATGGTAAGAAATTCCTATCTCTACCTTAATTTTAATATAATTAAATACTGATGTCGCCTACTTACCGCAGGATTCGGCCTCACAAAGAATGCGTCCTTTGAATCTTAGTGCAAATAAAATTTTCTGTAACTGAGAATTCATGTTCCGGAGTTTCGAATCCTCAAGTTTCCAAATAATCGTTCCTGGTGTTGAATATGGTTCATGCTCTGTCTGCTGAATCAATGGAAATACCTCGCCTAAAACAGATATAAATGTACTTCATCTGTTGAATGATTGTTGGAATTTTAATAGTTCTTATTCAGCTAGAACCTTACTCATTTTCCACATCATGTTTTCTGTTGTCTGAGCATTAGTGTTCATTTCAATTCAATCGTTCTTGTACTGTCTGTTACTAATACGTATATTGAAATTAAGAAACACACGAATTCACTGGATTATTTTTAATTACAGTAACTATTCGTCGATAAATATATCCCTATCTATGGATTTTAAGTGCCTTATGTCATAAGTAATATGATATATGTTGTGTGTAATTATACATTCGGACATTACTGCAGACATGAAAACGGCATTAAAATTAAGTTCGTCTTTGGTAAATGTTCTGGAAATGGTTTGTGTGAAAACTGATTGGAAAAGTTTGTTCATATTTCTTCAGACCCATTTATAAAAAGACCAATCAGAGTTGCTTTCCAAACAATTTTTATATTGAGGAATAGCGTTTGTTATCAGCGTCAATTGGAAGATGAACCATTGTAATTAGGGTTAGTAAAACAAGACAAGCCAAAATAAATATAACTTGTTGTATCTCTCGAGTGCAGAAATGTGTTGAATATCCAAAATCCTTCCACTTTTTGATACTGTGAATATGTAGGAATTTGCGTGATTTTCTGAATTCATGTCATTTTGTTCTTTGGAAGTCGAAGGACAAACCTTTGAAATAGAACTAGCAAAAGCCAAATGACATCTTCAGAGTAGAAAGTTGATTTTTGAAGGAAATACAATCATAATGCTTCAGTATTAAGCATAAACTTAATCTGTACTGTTTTCTATCTCATCAATAATCTTTTCACGAAATATGTCCCAATTACATAGCCTGTATGAAATATTTGCGTTCTTTAACTAAATTCAAACCTCCCCTTGGGAATTAGTAATCAAGATTGTAGCACAAATGTAATAATCTCACAACTACCAACCACGATTGCATTCGTTTTGCTCAAGATGACACCATTTTCCACAATTGATTGGAAGAGTCCTATCCTCCTGATCAACACCGACATCAAAGCGACTGTTACCGCCATCCGGCTCACGAAACAGACGACAATCGCCGGAACGTCCACGTCGAGATTCCTTGGTAAATGCCAATCCTCGGCATGACAAAGTGTCAATGCAAGATTCACGGCACTGTTCCAGAGAGATGTGACGCTCGTAGCGAAATTCATTACCTCGGACAGTGGAGCTAATTCTTGGATCGATCATGCGGAAACAAGTATCTTCAGCTGTAGAGATAAGTCATAAATAACATGGAATTGAAAGAAATATTCATTTCGATGCTATCATCACTGGACAAATTTCCTGATGTTGTATAATTTACTAATTTTACTTATCCTAAACCGAGTGGGCATATCGTCTGCAAATATAGACTGTACGTTTAACCCTATGTGCTTAAAATTCAGGTTACCAATTTAACTTATTTCAAAACGCAAAGTTTGACATTTTTTAATTATTTGAGTGGTTATTTGCTGGTATCGATAAAGCTATATTCATCATCTTGTTTAGACGTTTTTTATTTTATAGTCAATGGCTCAATCTTAACCTAATTTAGCAGATAATTACCAAATAACTATTGGAATATCTAAAATTCAAAAGTTTCTCTTCGAAAACTTAAACTAAATATTTTCCATTCACTAATAATATTTATAAAAGCTGTAACATTATTAGCTATAATCAGCATTCAAATGCAAATATTGTAAACTCGTTTATTGATTGTAAGGGTAAAGCAGAATCAATATTTAGAGAGAAATGTATTCTCAACGGAAATTATGCTCCAGATCTGTTTTTTGTACATAGATAAATTATAAGAAATTGAAAATATGATAGTTTAATGCCCAAATTCCATTCAATAGTGATAAATTTTTTTTTAAAATATAATAGACAAGCTTTTAAACACTTGATAATTCATATTAAAGTAACTCGTCTTTTAAAATCTTTTTAATCACCCCGGAATGCTTGGTCAACAGTCGACAAAAATTCACGCAATATTCCGTTGACATTTGTGAAAAACAAAGTTGAATACCCGTGAAAAAGGTTAGAATAATAACCAACTTTTTCTTTATTTATTTCTTTGGGTACATTTATTCTAATGAAGCAATTCATTGCCGGAAAATGTGTTTAAAGAAAATAAAAAAATTTTGAAGCCAGTTATTAGCTTTTAACGTTTAAAACAACACAAATATCGTTAATTAGATTTTAATAAAGTAAAATTCTAAAGAAGAAAAAACGTATTATTTAATTTAAGAAGCAAACAAACAGTACCATTATTTTATTTCAAATCATCATATTCAAATATTTCATAATACCCACTAATATCCGAAACATTCTTTCCTTAAAAATATTATAGAACCTTGCAGTATTGTTTCATATAAATATTTCAGTAAGTTATAATTTATATGAGACTTAAACATTTTCAGAGATACTTACTGGCAAATTGTGTTGTAAGAAACAATAATAATACTAAAAAAGTGATTAAAAGAGATGAACTTCATAATGAGCAAATAAATATAAATAATTTGATAGATTTATAATTTTATGAATTAAAGAATATTATCATCAGTTGGAGAAGGTTTGAACACTGCTTCTGAAACTTTTAAATGAGCTCGAACAGCTAAAATATCAAGTGAAGTTAATACTTAATATATCACTTTTAAATATAATGATCTGATTACTTGTAATAGTCTAATGACGCGAATTGAAATACGAGCTTTGCAGAATGAATCGAACGGAGAGGTTTAAAGATTATTGAAGGAGCGTGATTGAAGGACATTGCATTTTTTGCTCAATTTGAGCAACAATAAGCTGAATAACAAGATTAAACTTAAAAACATGCAAGTATGCTTACCTATTCATGTGAGGCAAAATTGATGCGTATTATCCTTTAAAATATTGAAATTTAAATAAATAACCATGACGTAGCCTATTATTAATTATATATATAGTCAAATATTATTAAAATGTAGAATTTAATTAGCCACCTCAATTCTAATTATAAATATAGAAAACAAGGGCTTCGAGATTATCCTACTTTAGCTGCCCACTATTTAACCGAGGCAACCATTGATTTATGTACCATTTATCTATTCTTTGAAGTTTCAAATGTACCAAAATGAAACGACCAATCATTCCGGGGAAAAAATTAATGAAAATTCATAAACTTGGCAAAATTTCTGGGTGCCAAAATTATTTAGCCAAATTTATTATTTCTTTCAAAAAAATGAACCCGTAAAAGATTTTGTGAAATAATCGGAATTTAAATGCAACTTGTCTGAACTATATGGAGATGAAAAAAATACTTGAAATAAACAGTCCCTGTATAGTGACAGAGCATCATATTTCATTTTACGCACCATGACGTGATGTCAGAAATCAAATCCTTGATTTCATTTGTGAATCGTTTTTATGCCACTTATTTGTGCACATTCAACGTAAATGCTTAAGGAGTGATTAAGATGAAAGCTTGTCCATAAATTTGAGATCGAATTTCGAAATGCCATCATTTTACTAGATCTCTAATATTTATACTAACAAATTAGAGGCTTTCTATTGAGAAATTCTGTTAGTTATTTGCCTTATCCATCACACTTCTTTGCAAAAGTGCTAACACAGTCATATGGTCTTTCTTTTATGAAATGGATAAAAGTTTTGAATTTCTCAGCTATAGGACTCATCATCTACAATAAGTAAGTATGCAATCGAAATGCAATAGTATATTTTGGAAAAACGTTACATTTTAAAGGTAAATATCACTAACATACCTATATATCATATTTAAAAGGCTTAAATGGTAAAATGGATTGGTTACTGTTATAACTGTCATCTTTTCGAATAGAGTGAACTAAGCTCATGTACCTCCTCTAACAAACAATTTTCTCTTTCATCTTTGCAATAGCAAGACTTTGAACTATAAATTTTTACCTCTCGGACAATTGAGAGGTAATCAATTATTTTAAAATGTCCAATAGGAAATGATAATTCGGACATAGATTTTTTGTACTCTAAAGCATGAATCACAACATATGAATTTTGAAAGTTAACCTCACACAATCAAAACAAATTCGTTGGTTTGCCTAAATTTTATTGAAAATACTAATAATGATTTACCATGATTATTCAAAACTTGCTAGATGATTTTAATTGTGTCATGCTAATTTATGTAAATTATTTACCTAATTATTAGCATATAACATCATTTGTAAAATTTAAAAGTTAAAAATTGAACGAAATTTAAAACAACCAATTTTTATTTGTCAGTAGGTAGTTTAGATTTATTCATTTTCAGATTGAATTATCTTTAATTCTTTAAAAGTTAAATTTTACTAAGCCTAATTAAAAATTAAATAATATTAACAAAATTATTTTGGATTTCACACCTCCGCTATCAACTAGTTGCCTTGACGATTTGCAATGAAGCCATAAAATATATTTCGGACTGTGGAGAATTTATGGTTTTGCGTAGGCTTTACCAAGGGAACAAAAATAGTACGCCAATAACAATGAGGTTAATCTATGTAATGATTGTTTATTTTATGAGTGACATAATTATCAACTTCAGTGGTCCGGCTTCGTTATTTAGAATTGTGTAGCCTACCAAATCAACTCAGTAAGCGTTCTTCTTTTTCCAGCAAATTAAACATTAAATGAGGGGTGTGCGATGGACCTACATCCACGTGGTGCAGCCTAGGCAACGTATACTCATACGGTA